GTAAATTAGGGTGAAATTCATATATATACATATATGTATATTTTCCATTGAGCAGGCCAGCCTCGAAGGCATCTGCTGACTACTGCTTGGAGTGCATTTATCAACAAGAAGAAGCTGGTCTCCGGAGATGCTGTGCTCTTTTTGAGGTAAGAAACCTAAATTTGAAATGATGTTGACTACCTGTTTTGGGTGGTTATATTTAATTTTTGGCAGGGGTGGTGATAGAAAATTGAGATTGGGAATCCGAAGAGCAGCTCAAGTCAAAACTGATTCTACTTTTCCAGCTCTTTCTAGCCAGAAGTTGAATGTTGGCACTATCAGTGCTGTTGTCAATGCTATATCTATGAGAAGCGTGTTCAACGTTCGCTACAATCCTAGGTATTTGAAGTCATACCAATTATTTTTCTGTAGGAAGAGTCATATTGACAATTTTATTGTATGTATGGTTAGATTGGTTTTGTAAAATGGTCCGGGTACGTAAAAATGGCTTTCTCTCTACGTACCAAAAAAGAAAATAAAAAGAGAAAAAAGAATTAGCCTGCCTTTCTTCTTAACATAGCAATATTTGATGTTTTGTTTGCATTTGCTTATTTTGATGAAAAAGGTTATTACTGAATATTTATAAAGGCAGCTGACCTGTGTGATATCAATCCAGTACATACGTTAGTATGCGCGTACTCTTTGGAAGAAGGCTGTTTAGGTGTGACAAGTTTTTGTGATTCAGCCATTCTAGAAAATCTAAACTGATTAGATGTTTGTATGAAAGTCAAATCTAGTGTATTTGTAGATTTTCCAACTTCCTACTTTTTGAAGGAAATTGTCGAATTCTTTAATAACATAGCATATGGGTTTTAGTATAAATAGCTCTATGTCAAGTACTATATTCAGATGGCTTTCAGAAATTGACTTGCCAAAGAATTGTCAAAAATAGTAACAATTAAGATAAATATATATATGTAAATAATATAATTAAGTAATCAAGCAATGAAGATATCATATTTTGTTGTTTTAACACCTTATTGATTATCATTTTCAGATATTGCTCTTTCAGTTGGTGCTAGTATCCATATTTTCTTTTGAACTTAGAATTAGCCAATGCCCAAAATCTAGTAGAGACTACTGTACATCTCTTGTAAATTGGTGAGGCAACTCATCATAGACACCTCTTAATAATTTTGACTAGTTCTTGAATATTATGTGCAATTTACAGTGCTTACAAGTTTTGTGTGTGCATATTTTTCCTTGAGAGTTATTGGAACTACTTAAAGTTGTATGATACATGGTAGCTACTTTGTTTAGTTGAATCCTTTCTTTTAAGCCTGATTATTCATTATTTATTGTTGTTAAATTTTCTTATTAACAGTTGAATCTTGAAATTGTCAACTAGCAAGATGATTGGAGAGGTACTTTATTTCTCATTTAACATAAAATTGAATTTATAACCAATTGTTATCCACATTATTTCTTACTTTTCCTTATGTATTGCACAGAGTTCAAAAAAAGCTGAGAAAAGAATTAGAAAGGAGCGTGAAGCTATAATTGCTGCGACAATGGATGAAAGAAGAAATACATCATTCAGAATTTTAGATGAGTGTTCTACTTCTCCACATGTTGAATCACATGATATGGAAGGAGTTGTAGACTCCACTCAAGTACCAAAGAAGAAAACTAGAGGGGCATCAAAGTTAAAGATGCATGACAAAGGAAAACAAAAGTGTGATGAAATTGACTTCAATGAAAGGAATCAGCCTGTGGGACCTGAGTTAGTTAAACTATCGACTTTAGAAGGGATCTTGGCACGGGAGATGGTGCCAATAACCATAGAGAGATGGCCTGATATTCCAGAAGAGGTTAAAGACAAGCTATGGGCTTTTGTGAAGGTAACAAATATTTATTTAATTCATTATTATACTATCAACTCAAGTGTTTTTCCTAATCACTAAATTTTTGTTTAAATGCAAATGCAACTTAGATTCAAAATACATGATTGCCATAGGAAACACATCATGCAAAAGTTTGGCAGATTATGGCGCTCACACAAATCTGAACTATCACGAAAAATAAGACCTCTTGGTAAAAGTGCTAAACTAGCACACAATATTGTCCTCACCAAACCTGATAATGTAGAAATGGTTGAATGGAAAGCATTTGTGAAACAACGAACTTCCAAAGAATTTAAGGTTAATTTCCTCATAGAAATTCTCTAGTTTTTATGAACTAATTAGACCAACAAATTTTCTCATAGTGATTCAATTATGAATTATTAATCATATAAATTATGACATTCTTCTTTTGTATATGTAGGCAAAGAGTAAAAGATTTAGGGCAATGAGAAAAAAGCAAACCCTCTTTCACACCACGAGTCGTAAAGGTTATGCACGATTAGAGGATGAAATGGTAAATTTAAAGAGCTGATTCAAGTAATTTTTGTAAATAATTGGGTATGAAGTATGTTACTTTGAAGATTGTTTTTAATCATGTTGATATTTCCATTTCTTATTTTATTTTTCTAGAGAAGAAGAAATGTCAAGCCACTCATCATCCCATATCAAGAGTTTGTGTTGGATTTAAAGGGCCATACGAGGAAGGAAGGAAAATCATGAGATGAATGCTTGATGCACTGTAGGACCAATATTACTTCTATTTTTATTTTTATTTTTTTGGTATTATAATTTGCCATTCACATCATTTATTTAAGACATGCTTATATTTTTAGAAAATATGTTTCAGAACTTCATAAGCTTCTACTGATGAGGGTCCAAAAATCCAATAAAAGTGATGCGATTTTCATACTTTTGGTTCCCGAGCGTCGTGGGAGTGTACGAGGGCTGGGATTTGGGGCATTACCATCTAAGGCTGATGCACAAGTACACCAAAATGAGCGCGTGAGAAAACTTGAACGCAAGGTGCTGGACTTAGAAAAACAACTCGATGAGATAAGAGTCATGCTTATCAAAGAAAGAAGGCAAAATGATGTAAGAGGAAAAGCTAAACATGATAATATAATGTCATGGCACATAATTTGTTTGTCTTTAATTTGTTATTTTATATTTAAATCACTTGCATGTTTATCTTTGATTGTAGGGTACCAATCCCTCCCAAAGAAGCTCCAATCTACTCCAATCTACTCCTCATGACAACCTTCCAACTTCAGTGAGTGAAAATAGTATTTTCAAAACATTTTTATCTACTTTTCATGTCTTTAATTGTTGGAATTATGTGGTAGCTATATGCTTAATGAAGTGTTTTTATGGTTTTTTAGGTGAATGAAGTTGGTTCTGTTACTGAAAGCATTGAAAGCTATGAAATTATCTAAACGTGGTGGTTCTTCAATTGCAAACTTTCCAGCTAGTTTAGATATGGTAAGTTATGCTGTTTTTAGAAGTGCCTTTTTTTTCTTTCTTCAAAGTCCATTTTGCAGTTTACTACTGGTCTTGTAGTAATGAAATTATAAACTGCATTGTTGATTTGCTGGAGATTGAGCTTCAAGCCAAATAGGCACTACTGCATATTCTGTAGTATGTATGTATGTTAGTGCAACTTGGAGTGTAGTATGTATGTATGTATGTATGTATATGTGTATGTCTGTTAGTGCAACTTGGAGTGTAGTATGTATGAGATTGTTAATGAGCCAATCCTAAAGTGATCCAATTCATATTTTTTCAGACATTCAAATGTGTCTTAACTATACCTCGGATTGCAATCAGAGCTTGTTTCTTGCCAAATCTCACTACTTTTGGTGAGAAATGAAACCTATAAAATAAAATTAAAGTTTTCTTTCTTTTCATTTCTCACTGTTTCCAACTTATTAGAGATCCACTTGAATTAGAATGTCCATTTAGTTTTTATATATTCATCAGGTTGAGTAGACTCATAAGTGTGACCACCTCGAAATATGTATTCATCAGGTTGAAATTTTCTTTTCTGACATTGATGACATATGTAAGTTCGTTCTCGTTGAAGCTTTTTGACACTTTCATTTCCTTTGCTGAACTAATACTTCGTAAATGGGATGAATGTTATGCAGTATGCTTATATACTCTTAATTTTTGTAGGATCAAAGTAATGGTGTGTCGAGCTTAGTAAATGTCAAATGCAAGTTGTTGCATTGGGAGGGGTCAAACTTGGTGGTTGCAGAAGGCCAAATTGCATCAAGGGATCCCAAGTCAAAGGTGTATCATGCAATTCTTGGACCTTTGTGTTGGAAAGTATGGGTGAACCATGTAACCGTCAACGTGCCGTTGTTTCGTTCTACTCATGAGATGCATGATCTTCAAGATGCAATAGGAAGTACAGTTGCATGGCCTAGTCAATTCATTCTTTTGGACGAAATATTGGACTAATTGATTTACAATTTGTAGTTATACTTTTTGGATGTTTAAAGTCGTATTTTGGAGATTAGTGAATCTTATGATTTGAATATTTTTTTTGATTTGTATGTTTGTGGTTGTTATCAGCTTGATATGATAGAAGTTGAGGATAAAAGTTAGTATGCAGGTTATTTGGTGTATGGATATTAGATTTTTTTGCTTACTTCATAGTTGTTGCTTCTGCTTGATTTGTAACAGATTGCATTTTATAAGCTATTGTCTACATACGGTTAGGCAAGGTCATGTTCCTATATATATATATATATATATTATATTAAAAATAACTTTCTACGGCATGTAAAATTATGCCGTGAAAAGTGTAATGATTTATGGCATGTAAGAAAATGTCGTAGAAGATTATATATGGCATACAAGGCATGTCATAAATATATTAAAAATGACCTTCTACGGCATACAAAATTATGCCGTGAAAAGTGTGATGATTTATGACATGCAAGAAAATGTCATAAAATACTATATACGGCATACAAAGTATGCTATAAATATATTAAAAATAATCTTCTACGGCATGCAAAATTATGTCATGGAAAGTATGATGATTTATGACATGATAAAAATGTCGTAAAAAGTTATATACGACATACAAAGTATGTCATTAATGTTTAATTTATTACTTTTTATGTCACGCCCTCAAAATTAACACATTATATATCATTGACAGGCATTATTTAAAGAAGACAATTTATATTTATTAATTTCATTCATCAGAGTAATTACTAAATAAAGCATTTACATGTAACATCGAATAAAAATGCCCTACACGGCTTACCATTCTTTCCAAGCCAACATCACTTGGATACAAAAATATGAGTTCTAACTCAAATACAAGAAAAGCCACTAAGGCTGAATGTTTACATGTAGCTAATACAATTAAAATGACAATTAACTAAAGGTAGTCTTCTTTTCAATCCAGAAGCCAAACCCTCGCAAGCTAAGTCCTTGGAGGAAAGGTTTATAGTTTAATCAACGCTGAACCTGAAAATGATGTCCTATAAAGGGTGAGCCAGACAGCCCATTAGAAATATACTAAACGCATATATAAGCAATGAATAAGCCAATAGCATTCAACAGATGGTTAAACTCAAGATAATCAGATTTCTCTGCAATTTTACCAGTCTCATGACACTATGTTTAGATAACGTTTACTTTCCAACTTTATCAACATGGCTCAGAACCTGGCCAAACTTACAACAGTGAATCACATACACATCCATATTCACATCCTTCCTCAATTCAAACAAACAAATGAGACTCAAGCTCAATCAAACACTTCATACTCTCCACGATTGATCCAACACTTTTAGTCGCTGTACAAAATAACACTTCTATATTAAATAAGCACACAGAATAAAGTGATGGCTAATGAGTCCAATCCCTCATTCTCCCAAACCAAAATCGGTTAGACGGTCCAATCCCCTATCTTCCCTAAAACCGTGAAGTACATCCCTTCTCCTTCCCACACACAAAAACAATGTATGCAAATGCAATTGCTCAATCAATACACGTATTTTCTGTATCAATGCATAGTCAAAATTAATGACTTAACCAATGGATTTAGTTCAAGCTTATTCTAATCCAGATGCAATGTCTAAACAATCACTGACTATCCTCCACCGTAGCCCAAAACAGATTATCTCTAAAACTCGAAAATAACTATGTCAACAATCAATGGAGCAAATGATTCCAATTAACCAATTCCCATTTAATCAATGAATCCCCAATTTCGCATGAGTTTAAGACCCTCTTTTCCAATTCCATGAATTACTCATACAAAATTATTCAATAATACACTAGGGTTTTTCCCCAAATTTACCAAGTATCCCCCAACATACAAATACAAACATTAGACAAAACCTATAATGGAGTAGGAAATCCCTACCATCGAAGAAAACAACACAAATGGTGAAGACCAAAGATGAGTGCCCCAATACCAACAGTGCTCCAAAACGCCAAATGTGTTGAGATTAAATGAACAGCCCTCGACTTCCCTCTAAAAATCTTTTGTAATGAAGGATCTAGGGTAGAAAACTACACCCTAAGGAATGCTCAAATGTCTAAGAGACGAGTGATAATGGGAGAGACGGACGAAGTCGGACCTAGGGTTTGGGATCAAAAAGAATCCATTGAAAAGACTGATCAACCAAACCCGCCTGTTGCGTATATAACTGGATCAGGCTCGCTCGAGCGAAGACACTTTTGTCGCTCGGGACCAGACAGTTCAGCAGAGAACTACGGCTCGAGCCAAGGAAGCTTGCTCGAGCCAACACACCAAAAGACTCGCTCGGAGCGAAGAAAGCCGAATCCGAGCGAGAACTTAAACCCAGGTCTGTATCAAAACACAGGGTAACAGCCGACGCTCGAGCGAAAGAATTTGCTCAGACATAGCGAAGACAAATACTAACCTCGCTGAGCGAAGAAAAGCTCGCTCGAGCAAGAATGGCAAAGCTAACACGGTCCAAACCGAGACGCACAACTCTCGCTCGAGCTACCAAACCCCCGGCTCGACGAAGAAAACGAAAGCAACAGCTCGCTCGAGCGACAAACTCTCTCGC